ATAAAAATAGTGGTTGAAGTGTTTCCATTACCCATTTAGGCAAATTGTGCATTAATAAATTGCCAACAGCCTATATGCACTCCCACCTCAGGTAGCCCGCGAAATCCAGCATGGATAGAATGCAATAATTGACTAATATTTGCCGTATTCTAATAATTGTGTGCCAACGTATCGCCACGGTCCGTGCATTGATGAAACTTGCACTCCTGTAGTTCTGAAAAAATTGGATGGTGAAACTTGCTAGCCAACCAGAAAAGCAAGCTGAAGCAATTCAGGCGTTCTTGAAAGTCAGGACAATCCTTGTCCTGCAAAGAAACATTTTTTTTTTTTATATAGTTGAAAAAATTGATTTTGCAAGCAGTGGGCATTTAGAATTAAATGTGGAGTGGAGCTTTCAAACTTATTTGGCAATAAACTGTTTCTTTCTAATAAATGTTGATCTTCTGTTGCAAATAAAGTTTAACAAAAAACAAATCCACCCCCGTCTAACACATTTCTATATCTGCCGTTTCCATTACACTATTGCTTTTGTCAAATAAACCTGGGTCAATGGAAACCTGACTATATTAAATCACAAAGGGCAGTTTCTGTTTGAGATGTTACTCACCAGGGCGTCTCTATTTATTGGATTGTTTTTTTGGGCGTGGTGATGGTAGTGTTGTGGGATCACTAATATAGCCCTGCATAGCCCTGATGCATAGGGGTGTGGCAGATATTGATACTACATTTATTTGTGAAGTTGCCAGATGGTCTGTCAGGTAACATTACTATTACTGCCAAGACGTGCTGTCAACACACTGTTTCCTCTGTTAAGAGTGAGAATCTGTGATTTAAAATTTGACTGGAAGTGTCAACACATAGCCAGCCAAGTGAGTCAAAGATGCTATAGCTGTTAAGTTTGGTCAATTCTCTCTGCTCAGTGTGTGTCTATGTCCATTGACATATAGTTCTAAGAGCTACAGGGGTTTTCCAGGCTCAAAAAGGGGCTTAGGTGGCGGGTGTGGTAATTAGTGTGGTCAGTGCAGTTGTGTATATTACATTTGTTTTATTTGATTACTTTATTATTTCATTCTAAGTAATCTCATCTCTATATAGCTGCTGCCTATGCTGTCTGACAAAATCACTCTTTTGTAATTCTTCAAAGTAAGTATGTCATACTTTTTTATGACTGCTTAATACCAACTATCAATCACTTAGATCATGTATTTTCATGCAGAGATACCTCTGGATGCAACAGCTGCTCTCTATATCCCCTCACGATCACTGCGTGGGCCAGGCTTCCAAGTGGGTGGGCCTATGCCCTCCCAGGTCCACCCATGGCTGCACCCCTGCCCAGTCATGTGAAATCCATAGATTAGGGCCTAATGAATTTATTGCAATTGACTGATTTCCTTATATGAACACTAACTCAGTAACACCTTTTGAAATTGTTGCATGTTGCGTTTATATATTTTTTCAGTAAACGTCACTGCATATAGGGAAAGTAGAGCCTGCACACTCAATGCTCCAACACATAACTATTGATTATTAAGTAATCTCATTATATTATAAACCAACAATAAAGGTCTTTTAGATTATTTGACTGTGTAAATTAACCCATTTACACACTTACAGTGAGGGGGAAAAAAGTATTTGATCCCCTGCTGATTTTGTACGTTTGCCCACTGACAAAGACATGATCAGTCTATAATTTTAATGGTAGGTTTATTTGAACAGTGAGAGACAGAATAACAACAAAAATCAGAAAAACGCATGTCAAAAATGTTATAAATTGATTTACATTTTAATGAGGGAAATAAGTATTTGACCCTTGTGCAAAACATGACTTAGTACTTGGTGGCAAAACAGAGGTCAGACGTTTCTTGTAGTTGTCCACCAGGTTTGCACACATCTCAGGAGGGATTTTGTCCCACTCCTCTTTGCAGATCTTCTCCAAGTCATTAAGGTTTCGAGGCTGACGTTTGGCAACTCGAACCTTCAGCTCCCTCCACAGATTTTCTATGGGATTAAGGTCTGGAGACTGGCTAGGCCACTCCAGGACCTTAATGTGCTTCTTCTTGAGCCACTCCTTTGTTGCCAGTCATTGTCATGCTGGAATACCCATCCACTACCCATTTTCAATGCCCTGGCTGAGGGAAGGAGGTTCTCACCCAAGATTTGACGGTACATGGCCCCGTCCATCGTCCCTTTGATGCGGTGAAGCTGTCCTGTCCCCTTAGCAGAAAAACACCCCCAAAGCATAATGTTTCCACCTCCATGTTTGACAGTGGGGATGGTGTTCTTGGGGTCATAGGCAGCATTCCTCCTCCTCCAAACACGGCCAGTTGAGTTGATGCCAAAGAGCTCGATTTTGGTCTCATCTGACCACAACACTTTCACCCAGTTCTCCTCTGAATCATTCAGATGTTCATTGGCAAACTTCAGACGGGTGTGTATATGTGCTTTCTTGAGCAGGGGGACCTTGCGGGCGCTGCAGGATTTCAGTCCTTCACGGCGTAGTGTGTTACCAATTGTTTTCTTGGTGACTATGGTCCCAGCTGCCTTGAGATCATAGACAAGATCCTCCGGTGTAGTTCTGGGCTGATTCCTCACCGTTCTCATGATCATTGCAACTCCACAAGGTGAGATCTTGCATGGAGGCCGAGGGAGATTGACAGTTCTTTTGTGTTTCTTCCATTTGCGAATAATCGCACCAACTGTTGTCACCTTCTCACCAAGCTGCTTGGCGATGGTCTTGTCCCTAATATCCTTGGAGAGCTCTTTGGTCTTGGCCATGGTGGAGAGTTTGGAATCTGATTGATTGCTTCTGTGGACAGGTGTCTTTTCAGGTAACAAGCTGAGATTATGAGCACTTCCTTTAAGAGTGTGCTCCTAATCTCAGCTCGTTACCTGTATAAAAGACACCTGGGAGCCAGAAATCTTTCTGATTGAGAGGGGGTCAAATACTTATTTCCCTCATTAAAATGCAAATAAATTTAGTGGGGGAAAAAAGTATTTAGTCAGCCACCAATTGTGCAAGTTCTCCCACTTAAAAATATATAAATATAAATAAATTGGTCATTTAGCAGACGCTCTTATCCAGAGCGACTTACAGGAGCAATTAGGGTTAACGCCTTGCTCAAGGGCACATCGACAGGTTTTTCACCTAGTCGGCTCGGGGATTAGAACCAGCAACCTTTCGGTTACTGGCACAACGCTCTTAACCACTAAGCTACCTGCCGCCCGAGGCCTGTAATTTTCATCATAGGTACACGTCAACTATGACAGAAAAAATGAGGAATTTTTTTCTCCAGAAAATCACATTGTAGGATTTTTAATGAATTTATTAGCAAATTATGGTGGAAAATAAGTATTTGGTCAATAACAAAAGTTTCTCAATACTTTGTTATATACCCTTTGTAGGCAATGACACAGGTCAAACGTTTTCTGTAAGTCTTCACAAGGTTTTCACACACTTGCTGGTATTTTGGCCCATTCCTCCATGCAGATCTCCTCTAGAGCAGTGATGTTTTGGGGCTGTCGCTGGGCAACACAGACTTTCAACTCCCTCCAAAGATTTTCTATGGGGTTGAGATCTGGAGACTGGCTAGGCCACTCCAGGACCTTGAAATGCTTCTTACGAAGCCACTCCTTTGTTGCCCGGGCAGTGTGTTTGGGATCATTGTCATACTGAAAGACCCAGCCACGTTTCATCTTCAATGCCCTTGCTGATGGAAGGAGGTTTTCACTAAAAATCTCACAATACATGGCCCCATTCATTCTTTCCTTTACACGGATCAGTCGTCTTGGTCCCTTTGCAGAAAAACAGCCCCAAAGCATGATGTTTCCACCCCCATGCTTCACAGTAGGTATGGTGTTCTTTGGATGCAACTCAGCATTCTTTGTCCTCCAAACACGACGAGTTGAGTTTTTACCAAAAAGTTATATTTTGGTTTCATCTGACCATATGACATTCTCCCAATCCTCTTCTGGATCATCCAAATGCACTCTAGCAAACTTCAGATGGGCCTGGACATGTACTGGCTTAAGCAGGGGGACACGTCTGGCACTGCAGGATTTGAGTCCCTGGCGACGTAGTGTGTTACTGATGGTAGGCTTTGTTACTTTGGTCCCAGCTCTCTGCAGGTCATTCACTAGGTCCCCCCGTGTGGTTCTGGGATTTTTGCTCACCGTTCTTGTGATCATTTTGACCCCACGGGGTGAGATCTTGCGTGGAGCCCCAGATCGAGGGAGATTATCAGTGGTCTTGTATGTCTTCCATTTCCTAATAATTGCTCCCACAGTTGATTTCTTCAAACCAAGCTGCTTACCTATTGCAGATTCAGTCTTCCCAGCCTGGTGCAGGTCTACAATTTTGTTTCTGGTGTCCTTTGACAGCTCTTTGGTCTTGGCCATAGTGGAGTTTGGAGTGTGACTGTTTGAGGTTGTGGACAGGTGTCTTTTATACTGATAAGTTAAAACGGGTGCCATTAATACAGGTAACGAGTGGAAGACGGAGGAGCCTCTTAAAGAAGAAGTTACAGGTCTGTGAGAGCCAGAAATCTTGCTTGTTTGTAGGTGACCAAATACTTATTTTCCACCATAATTAGCAAAGAAATTCATTAAAAATCCTACAATGTGATTTTCTGGAATTTTCTTCCCTCAATTTGTCTGTCATAGTTGACGTGTACCTATGATGAAAATTACAGGCCTCTCTCATCTTTTTAAGTGGGAGAACTTGCACAATTGGTGGCTGACTAAACACTAACATTAATGACATGCGTTATTCTGGATTTTTTTGTTGTTATTCTGTCTCTCACTGTTCAAATTAACCTACCATTAAAATTATAGACTGATCATTTCTTTGTCAGTGGGCAAACGTACAAAATCAGCAGGGGATCAAATACCTTTTTTCCCTCACTGTACCAGCCCAGCATCCTATAAAAGATGACGCGTGTTTAATTGTTTATTTTCATATATTAATATTCTATTGTGCTACTTGTGTGTCCCGTCAATTCCAGGTTCCCAATGTCCAGCCGGTGGCCCTGATCACCAGCCCAGAGGACTCGCAGCACTATGAGGAGGCCAGGCAGTGTGTGGAGGAGCTGGCCCTCTACCTCAAACCCCTCAGCAACACCAGAGGTAACACGCGCACACAGAGTGTTGAACCAACTCTGACTCTGGACAATGATGACAATATTATAAATAATTACCAATTCATGAATCACAATAACTGTTTGCTAAAATATTACTTGCTTGCCAAATATTTTTGTAATGGCAATCCTGGTTATAGGTAACAATCCTAAGCATGAACTGCCTACATTATTACACATATTATTTGTTAATTGTGGAATTTAAGATACACATTTTTCATAACTATGTAATACGATCGAGGTGAGGGTGATGGAAATGCTTTTGGCGGTTTATCTGCATCTGTTCTGTGGGTGGCACTCTGTGCTCTTTTTTTAAGGATTGGTCCCGGTCTCTCGGGGTTCTGGGGGGACGGGGTGGTCTGCCGGGTCACTGGGAGGACAACCCAACTTGGGATGGGGTTTTAGCAGGTGGAATAGTGGAGAACAATTGGAGATTTACTTAGTAGCAATGTGAATATCATGGTACAGCTATATGGACATTCAATCATTATGGTACATTTTAATAGTAAGTTTACAAACATATATTATGATAATAGAATTGGAACTTGTATCTCATTATGGTGAAATAATGTAATGCCTTAGCAGATGATAAAAGTATTTACCTGGCTAAAAGAGAAGGAATATAATATCTATTGTTTACATTAAACTCATTCAACAATTTATGTTGAAATATATTTCTCCGATTGGCAAAGAAATTGAAAAGGGGTGATGATATTAACAGTAATTTTGATCCGAATGTGCTAATTGTCCAAACAGATCTGCAAGGTAAATTTATTATTTTAAATATATTATTTGGCCATAAACAGATTGTGCTCATTAATCTATACGGTCCAAATAATGATCCACGCTTCTTTGAAAATGTATATAGTAATTTATCAAACCTACAAGCAATACAATACTCTATTATGATGGGAGATAATTATACGGTTTTGAATACCTCAATGGACAGTAAAGCAAATCACACTACAAAATATCACCCTCATGCACTTAAGGAAATCACAAATATCATGGATATATTGTAACTAGTGGATATATGGAAGCTTAAATATCCTGACCTAGTGAGATATACATGGCGGAGGCTCAGTCAAGCTAGTCGTCTTGACTACTTCCGTATGTCATTCTCGCTGGAACCAAAAGTAAAAAAAAAAAGTGTTGATGGGGACAGAACGCATTTCGGACCATCAAATAATTGGCATATACATTACTCTTACAGAATTTCCACATGGGCGAGGGTATTGGAAATTCAATCAAAGCCTATTGGATGATAACTTTGACAGAATAATTTATAACTGACTTTTTCCGACATAACAAAGATAATGCAGATCTCCTTATTGTATGGGACGTGTTTAAATGTGCCTTTAGAGGTCATGCAATTTAATACAAATGCACCAAATTATTTTTTAAATCTTCAACATAGAAAAGCTACCAAAAATAATTTACTGAAACTTGTTACAAATGCCACCCATGATTCACCAAACAATATTTTGAAAGAGGAAGCAAAGTACTTTAAGCATATGTTTTCTATGTAAGGTCCCACAGTTGACTGTGTATGTCAGAGCAAAAACCAAGCCATGAGGTCGAAGGAATTTTCCGTAGAGCTCCGAGACAGGACTGTGTTGAGGCACAGCTCTGGGGAAGGGTGGCAAAATAATTCTGCAGCATTGAAGGTCCCCAAGAACACAGTGGCCTCCATCATTCTTAAATGGAAGAAGTTTGGAACCACCAAGACTCTTCCTAGAGCTGGCCGCCCGGCCGAACTGAGCAATTGGGGGAGAAGTGCCTTGATCAAGGAGTTGACAAAGAACCCTATGGTCACTCTGACAGAGCTCTAGAGTTCCTCTGTGGAGATGGGAGAACCTTCCAGAAGGACAACCATCTCTGCAGCACTCCACCAATCAGGCCTTTATGGTGGAGTGGCCAGACGGAAGCCACTCCTCAGTAAAAGGCACCTGACAGCCTGCTTGGAGTTTGCCTAAAGGCACCTAAAGGACTCAGACCATGAGAAACAAGATTCTCTGGTCTGATGAAACCAAGATTGAACTCTTTGGCCTGAATGCCAAGTGTCACGTCTGGAAGAAACCTGGCACCAATCCTACAGTGAAGCATGGTGGTGGCAGCATGCTGTGGGGATGTTTTTCAGCGGCAGGGACTGGGAGACTAGTCAGGTTCGAAGGAAAATGAACGGAGCAAAATAGAGATCTTTGATTGAAAACCTTCTCCAGAGCGCTTAGGACCTCAGACTGGGGTGAAGGTTCACCTTCCAAAAGGACAACGACCCTAAGCACACAGCCCAGACAACGCAGGAGTGGCTTCGGGGCAAGTCTCTGAATGTCCTTGAGTGGCCCAGCCAGAGCCTGGACTTAAACCCGATTTGAACATCTCTGGAGAGACCTGAAGTTATCTGTGCAGCAATGCTCCACATCCAACCTGATAGAGCTTGGGAGGCTCTGCAGAGAATAATGGGAAAAACTCCCCAAATACAGGTGTGCTAAGCTTGTAGCATCATACTCAAGGAAACTTGAGGCTGTAATCACTGCCAAAGGTGCTTCAACAAAGTATTGAGTAAAGGGTCTGAATACTTATGTAAATGTCATATTTCTAAAAACCAGTTTTTTTGCTTTGTCATTGTGTGTAGATTGATGATGAGGGTGAAAAAACTATTCATTCAATTTCTGAATAAGGCTGTAACGTAACAAAATGTGGAAAAAGTCAAGGGGTCTGAACACTTTCCATGTCTACTTAGTATGTCTAAGCTGGAAGTAGAAGCCCAAGTGTTGTTGTCCATTAGTTTACTCCAATTAGGGGAGGAGTTGTAGGTTTAGGGAAAATAATAAAGGAAAATATATTTAAAAGAGATTATATGATTATTATTTTTTTAACAAAATAAATGCGGTATTGGAAATGATGCGGACAATTACATTGATGGAAGCTACAATCTATCTGCAATAAAACATTTAATTAAAAACATTTCATGGTGTCTCTCTCTCTTCCCCCCCCCAACCTCCTTCCCTTCCTCCCTCCGTCTCTCACCAGGGGTGGGTCTGAGCAGCACGACCCTGAGTATGCTGAGTCGACCCATGCAGAGGAAGCTGGTGACCCTGGTCCACTGTCAGCTGGTGGAGGAGGAGGGCCGGGTGCGGGCCATGAGGGCAGCCAGGTCTCTGGGGGAGCGCACGGTCACAGAGCTCATCCTGCAGCACCAGAACCCCCAGCAATTGTCGTCCAATTTGTGGGCCGCCGTCCGGGCCAGGGGCTGCCAGTTCTTGGGCCCAGGTAGGATGAGATTAAGTTTACACACACACACCCGCCTTGACTATACCAGCATTTCTCAAACCTCTCCTCGGAGACCCCTAGCCATTCCATTTTCCAGTTCATCTACTCCGTAGCAAACTCCCAGATCATCCAGAACTAATCCTCAAGCTCTTGACTAGTTGAATCACTGCTAGTTCAGGACGACAGCAAATGTGTGAAACATCTGGGGGTCCCCAAGGATAGGTTAGAGAAACGTTGTCTTATACAATGACATTTACTAGTTTAAATGTTTGTATGTTGTCAAACTTGCATAAATGTCTTCTCAAATGCTGTGGGTGTGCTTGTGGTCTAAACCCACTCGTGTTCTCCCTCCCAGCCATGCAGGAGGAGGCTTTGAAGCTGGTGCTGCTGGCTCTGGAGGAAGGCTCAGCCCTGTCCAGGAAGGTCCTGGTACTGTTTGTGGTCCAGCGGCTGGAGCCACGCTTCCCCCAGGCCTCCAAAACCAGCATAGGCCACGTGGTGCAACTCCTTTACAGGGCCTCCTGCTTTAAGGTAGGTCTGACTCTACCTACACACCCAAACACACATACACCGTTCTAAGAGCTGGTTCTTGTTCATTTGGCGCAAAGCGGAAGAAAGCGGTCACAAAACGGAGTGAAATGGAGAGGTACCATCTAAAGTTCTCCAATAAGAAACACTTTTGTTTTCCGTTGCATAGTGTTTTGGAACGTTTGCTTCAGTGTGCTCCAATGAATATGACCCAGCATAGGACACGTGGTTCACAAACATGTTTTGGGCTATGACCTCCCTAAAATTCTGTAACCAATCAGTAGATCCTGACCCAATATTTTTCGGGAACTCTAACCTAGGTGACCAAGCGTGACGAGGACTCGTCGCTGATGCAGCTGAAGGAGGAGTTCCGGACGTACGAGGCACTGCGGCGCGAACACGACTCCCAGATTGTCCAGATCGCCATGGAGGGCGGCCTCCGCATCGCCCCTGACCAGTGGTCCTCCCTGCTCTACGGGGACCAGTCACACAAGTCCCACATGCAGTCCATCATCGACAAGGTATCTGTGTGTCTCTATGTGTGTCTTCGACAAGGTGTCTGCGTCTGTTTGCGTCTATATGTTACTAGTCCTAGAAGTAGCTGTCACATACGTCGTACAGTCCATTATCAACAAGGTGTTTGAGTCAGTTACACATTCACAAAAATCCCACATTCACTCATGTAAACATCTACTTATCAGTTTGTGTATTTGTCTATATAACCGTCTGTGTGCACACATGAAACCACAAAATAGCCATTGTAATAATCTTCCACTAAAGGAGCACCACTCTGATCCTTCACAATAGAAAACATGTTATTTCAAACAATGCTGATAAGATAAAGCAGAACAGGAATGATCATATCCACTCAAAAACTGGTAGAAAATCCAGGTTCAGGCACTCAAATGCTGATAGGATTTACATTAATATCCCGTGTCTCCCCCCCCCTAGTTGCAGACGCCGGCTTCGTTTGCCCAGAGCGTCCAGGAGTTGACCATCGCCCTGCAGAGGACGGGCGACCCCGCCAACCTTAACCGCCTTCGACCACACCTGGAGCTCCTGGCCAACATCGACCCTAGCCCCGGTGAGAGAGACACACGCTGGCTCGCATGCACATTTACACACCCCAATCAGGGCTAAAGCTTGAGAATTATGCATGCAACAGAAGATGGTATTCGAACCACAGACGCACCAGGGCTGCCTTTCTGCATTCAAAATTGTTCTCTAACTCTTCTGTTTTTGTGTTGTCCGCATTATGGGACTAAATGGCTGAAAGCATTACCAGGAACTTGGCCGAGCTATTGCATTCCCCTTTTCGGTCCCATCAAATCCTCGAAGGGCAGGGAACAAGGGCATAGGGGAGGGAGTTATCTCAAACGTTCTCGAATTAAATGCAGCCCAGTACTTTCCATTAGTTAAGTGGTAAAGAATCAATCAATCAGTGTAGAACAGGTTGGTTGTGTTTGTGAGCTGCACGTGGATATAGTCAGGGAGAAGGAGAAGTTGTCCAATGTTATCATATTGATTCAAATAGGCATGACTCATTGGCCCTTATGACTCATCTCAAACATGGGTTTTGACTATCTGTCATTCCAATCATGGTTAAGTACCATTTCATTGACTCACTTTTGTTTAAGAGCCCTTTAAGCAGTAACCTATGTATGAAAGATAGGGAGTGTAGGCAGCACAATTCAGATCTTTTGCCAATTATTTGCATATCTGGTACCTATCTGATATTTTTCCTCATGTTTAACCACATGATTTATTCCACCTGCATATGTGGATCTAAATCCTGATACAAACCCGATCCTCCATTTGCGACCTCTGTCTGCACGCTCAGATAAGATCATTTTGCTCTGAAGTGTTTTTGTTGTTCTTTGCACATGACCTGTCGTTACCATGACAACAGTGACAGGAAATGAGATTTGCATCGGTGTGCTACTTCAGAGGATACATCAGTGTGAATGTGCAAATCTGATATGGGTCACATGTAAATCTGAGTGTGGACAGTCAGAAAAAAAGATTGGATATGGAAAGAAAATCAGATTTGGGTTCTTAGTGGCTGTGTAAACACAGCCGTATTGTCATATGTGTGTGTGACCCCTCTTTTTTCAGTCAGCTTTCTTATTACTTTAACTAGGCTAGTACTGATAGAGAGAAGACCTGTGTTCTATCAGGTGGGGTCTATATAAGGGCATAACATTTACTTTTTGGTCCACAAGCTGCTGTGGCAGGTAGATTTAAAAAATCTACCAGCCACTCAGATTTTTAACCAGATATTTTCCCACTAAAATTACACCAACACAAAAAGATGGCGGATGAGCAAGCTTTGTAATGTTTCTAAAACAATACATGTATTACTAGTAAGAAGTAATGTGGTATATTGATTAATAAAAAAATGTGACCTAAGTCTTTTAACCAAAATATGACGGATGAGACAAATGTTCACCTGCCCCTTTAAGGGCAGAAGGTTACCGTGGTAACGCGGCTCATGTTTGTGCCTGTGAGATTGAATCTGACTAGTAGAAGGGTTGTCTTCCCTTCCCTAACAGTTGAAACTCAAACATAGAAAAATAACTTGGCTTGTGAACAAAACAATGTAAATAAAATAAATAAAAATGAATCTTTCGCTCAGCTCTAAACGTGTGCACAGCTGCCAGCGAGGCAGTGTTGCAGCGTGAGGTGGAATAGGCTGTATAGGATTCGTAGTTCTTTGACTTTTGTGCGATTTAATTTACCAGCTATGAAATATATATATATATATATATATATATATATATATATATATATACACACACACACACAGTGGGGAGAACAAGTATTTGATACACTGCCGATTTTGCAGGTTTTCCTACTTACAAAGCATGTAGAGGTCTGTAATTTTTTATCATAGGTACACTTCAACTGTGAGAGACGGAATCTAAAACAAAAATCCAGAAAATCACTGTATGACTTTTAAGTAATTAATTTGCACCCTCTGGGTCTCTAGATGCCCCCCCTCCCACGTGGGAGCAGCTGGAGAAGGGTCTGGTGGCGGTGAAGACGGTGGTCCACGGCCTGGTGGACTTCATCCAGAACCACAGCAAGAAGGGAGCTGACCCACAGCAGGTACCATAGCTCACCCTCCGGCTCACTATGGCTGATCACTCTACAGCAGCCTTAAAGTATGAGTCACGACCCAAAGTGGGACGCGACATGCCAGAGAAAATAATATATATACATTGCCTTCAGAAAATATTCATACCCCTTGACTTATTCCACATTTTGTTGTGTTACAGATTTTGAACTTCTGAGTGATAGGAACCTTTTTTATCCTAAAACACTCCCCAGTCCTTATCGATTACAAGCATACCCATAACATGACTCAACCACCACCACGCTTGAAAATATGGAGAGTGGTACTCAATAATGTGTTTTATTGGATATGCCCCAAACATAATACTTTGTATTTAGGACAAACAGTGAATATCGATGCCACATTTTTTGCAGTATTACTTTAGTGCTTTGTTGCAAACTGGATGCATGTTTTGGAATATATATCTAAAGTGTAATTAATAACCTCACCATGCTCAAAGGGATATTCGATGTCCTTTCTACTAATTGGTGTGCCCTTCATTGCAAGGCATTGGAAAACCTCCCAGGTCTTTGTGGTTAAATCTGTTTGGAATTCACTGCTCGACTGAGGGACCTTACAATTATCTGTATGTGTGGGGTACGGAGATGAGGTAGTCATTCAAAAACATATTAAACACTATGCAACTTATTATGTGACATGTTATGCACATTTTTACTTCTGAACTTATTTAGGCTTGCCATAACACAGGGGTTGAATACTTATTGACTCAAGACATTTCAGCTTTTCATTTGTAAGTAATTTGTAAAAATGGAGGAACATAATTCCACTTTGACGTTATGTGTGTAGGCCAGTAACAAAATCTAAATGTAATCAATATAAAATTCAGGCTGTAACACAACAGAATGTGGAAAAAGTCAAGGGGTGTGGCTACTTTCTGAAGGTACTGTATAGAGTAATAGAAATGTCGCTTTTAGGTGCAACGTTCCAAAATGTAATGTACATCCCAATTTTACTATAGATTGCCCTTTCAAGTTTCAAATATGTGACAAAACTGACATTGGCAAAAATGGATGTGATATGCATAGGTGTTTCAAAATCTACTTCTCACTATGAGGCCAATAGTGACTTTAAAACAGTTAGAGTTTAATGACTGTGATAGGAGAAACTGAGGATGGATCAACAACATTGTAGTTACTCCACAATACTAACCTATTTGACAGAGTGAAAAGAAGGAAGCCTGTAGAGAACAAAAATATTCCAAAACATGGATCCTGTTTGCAACAAGGCACTAAAGTAATACTGCAGAACATCTCAATTTAATTCATTTTGAATTCAGGCTGTAACACAATGTGGAATCTTTCTGAAGGCACTAGGTTTCCATCCAATTAGGGACAGATTTTCAGGCAAATAATCTAAAATATGCATATTTTCCCACCAGTGGTGTGTTTCCACCAAACGGACTTGTTGCGTATATAAATCAGTATGTGATGATGTAGTGCACACAATGTACTTTTTTACTTCATTTTTCATGTACTGAATACAAATCTAAAGTGCAATGTGTTTCCATCGCATTTTCAACTCTACTGATAGTTTTGTCACAAACTGTTGCGTTAAATAGCAAATGTGCCTACTCTGGTCTTGGCACTTGTGCTCTAGCCCACAGCTCGCCGATACAGTGCAGGTAGGCTAGTCTACACGATGAGGTTATTATGGGTAAGAGTGAGAATATTTGTATTTGTCAAACGGCAGTTAAGCATCGATCATCATGTCACCAGAATAAAACTCTATTTATTGGAAGTTCATAACTTATTTAATCTGCAGCCTAATAAACTACATGGTTTCCCGAGTCGTAGTGTGAGGACCACACACCATATTATCGCGTGACTCCAAGTTTACTTCGATATGATGGTTATTATAACAATATATGCGCATAAATGCATTTCCACTGCCATTTCTCACAAAAAGATCCCACCATGTCGAACAAACAAATTATCTGTGGCATGTATAAAATTCTACGGAAACTTCCTGTTTCCATCACAGCTGTCGCATAAAAACTGTGACTGGAAACGTGGTTACTCTAACACATTTTTCTCTCTCTTCAGCCCCCCCAGCACAGTAAGTACAAGACTTACATGTGTCGGGATATGAAGCAGAAGGGAGGCTGTCCCCGAGGAGCCAGCTGTACCTTCGCCCACTCTCAGGAGGAGCTGGAGAAGTAAGTCTCCTTCAGAAATATAAACACAACCACCACCCTTTTGATTGAAATGGAATGGCACAAACTCTGCCCTCTTTCCCATTTAAATCAAAACACCTAAACATATTCTGCTCTGATAACCTCATTCTGAGTTTGATAGTTATCATTTGTATGCCACGGTTTTAAAACTTCTTCCCCTTGGTGTAGATATTTGTATTTTAAAATCTACAGTAGGATAACTTTTCTGTTTTATAGCTACTGTAAAATTACTGTATTTTGTGTTTATAGCAAGCCACCAAGGCCAGAAGTATAACTATTTTCTGTTCGTAGGTACCGTAAAATGAACAAGCGTTTGGTAGCTCGCCTCCCCGGCTCATCTGGCCTGCTGTCTGACGACGGACTCTCTCTGGACGTGGGGGTGACCCGGAAACCCTCGCCCCTCACCAACGGCTCAGCCGTACCCTCCATGCCCCAGCTCATCGCTCGTGGCACTGACCTCGTGACCTACAACCTGTTGCGCAAGCCCAAGATGGACGGTGGGAGCAACAGCGCCCCGGGATCGCCCCCTGACTCGTAAGTGGGAAACCCCTCCTTTCAGCCAACCTTATATCTATTTGGTTAATCTGTTTTGTAACAGAAGAAAATGTGTGTTTTTAGCAACAACAAAAAAAGTTAAATAAACATTTGTTTTAATTGATGCAAAAACTTGATTGATTCATGTAGCATTGTATCCAGCACTCTCACTCTGTTTTTCTATCCTCAGTCTGGACTCTGGGCCCAAACAAGGGTACCCCCATGCCATGGGCTACTCCAGGGGGCCAGGCGACCACATGTCCATGCCCAAACAGATGCCCGGTAGCGTGGTGCCCCAGATATACCCCCAGCAGCAGCTACCTGAGATGTACTACTCCGACTCTCGCCCCCCGCCCTCTGCTTCGCAGTACGAGCCCTCGCAGTATCCCCAAGGTGAGGCTGCTAAACGCTTGTTTTCTACTGTTGAAACATTTTGATGTTTCTATGTCGTGTTTTTACTTTCAATCAAATGCCTCTGAAAGTTATGAGTGCGTTCAATGATGATTGCGTTTTGAACATATGATATTGCTCAATGACCAATATTAAACAAAAAAGTGTGAAGAAAATCAACATGTCAACATTTCCCCCTCGCCTCACAGGTTACCCCTACCAGCAGCCCCCCCAGTACGCCCCCCAGCGCTACATCCGCAACCCCCCTCCCCCCGGCGACCCCGCCGGACCCCCCTACCAGGACCACGGCTACGGCCCACCCGATCGCCCTTACCCGGCCCCCCACTCGGGCCCTCCCTTTTCCTACCCTCCCCCACCCCACTATGACACCCGGGGCCGCCACGGTCCTTACCCCGGCCCCCCTCCTCCCCCCCAGCCCTACCCCTCGCAGAGGGACGACATGGTCCGGATGAGCCCCGCGCCCCTGGAAGGGCCCCCCTACCACCAGGAGCAGGCTGCCAGGGAGAGGTTCCCCCCAGAGGGATACTACCCACCGGTGGCCCAGCCCCAAACCATGAGAACCTACGTCAGGGTAAGTTTGGTTCCTTCACAGTGGTCAGCAACACTGGTCCCGGAGAGTTACAAGGTAAATAGGCTTTTGGTCCAGGCCAGCAGTAAAACCTTATTCAACCAGTCCAAGGTCTTGATGAGCAGTTGATCACTTGAATCTGGGTGTGTTAGCACTGGGCTCAGCAAAAAGCTAGCAAACCATTTATCACTCCAGGTTGGTGACCATTGGTGAACATACACACTGACTACTATGCAGTTATTGTCTTATGACTCATAAGCTATGAGCTGCATCTCCCTCGAGTTATACATTTATGTCGTTAGAAGTTGTCCAGAAGATGATGATGGTGTGCATTTTTATATGTGTGGCACTAATCAAGAAAAAAAAGATATACTGTATATAGTTTAGTGTCATTATGGAAATATTGAGTAGTTGTCTCATGAACTGTGTCCCGAGGTGAGTTAACGAGGCCGCTCCTCCCAGCCCACCCTGGACTACCTGTACTTTAAATGTAATTGTAACTAATCATTATAAATGTTGTCCTGTGGTTTGTTAGGAGCAGTACGGGCGCTCCTCCCAGCCCAGCCTAGACTACCTGCACCACCGCCGTAAGGAGCTGATGGCCCAGCTGGAGGAGAGGAAGGTCATCTCTCCCCCACCCTTCGCTGCTTCGCCCACCCTCCCTCACACCTTCCCCAGCGACTACCCCCAAGAGGTGAGGACCCACACACACCGTATGTCATTCAGGGTCAACACACAAGAGTCAGTTTTGCCTGGTCCAGTAACAAACTGTTAAGTGACAAGTGTTGGCCTTCAAAGCTCCCCACTGGGAGTTTTAATGTCATGCCATTATCTAATTGGGAAGTGAAACTACTGTCTATTTATAACAGTTTAAAAACAGGGCTTCTGATGCTGTTAGCGATGACCCTGTTTCAGTAAAATTCGAACTTTTATATTATTCCGCCCTGTATACACTTTTCTAAAATGCCTATGTTTTAGCACGTTTAAATGCTGTTTCCTAGTTAGCATGGGTATACAAGTAACTTGCTAACACACCTGTGTCTGTCTCCACAGTATGGGGAGGAGAGCTCCAAAGCCTTTGGGAAGTACAGGGAGCCGGACTACGCGGGCCAGTACTCTCCCTGGTCCTGTGACACCATCGTCTCCTACATCGGCACCAAGGACTCCAAGCCCAAAGACGTCATGGCGCCCGGCGCCATGGAGATGATGGTGAGTGACAGGTGGAATAGTGCCGGTGGGTCTTAGTGAGACGGTATGTGTCTGAAAGTGTTACTGGTTCAGATGTCACAGGAACAATGTTGTGCTTGAGGAGGATTTTAGCAGTCAGTTACATGAGCTCTATTGTTCCTCGTCTCTTCCTCTCTTTTCATCTCTTATTTCTTCACCTTTCTCTCCCCTATTACTTATTGTCCTTCGCTTTGGTTGAGAGCGTCTGTTAAATGGCTAAATTGTTCATTGCCCCTCTGCCTTTTGCTCTCATTTTCCTCTCTTCTTCCCCAGCTTTCTCCCTCTCCATTGTTAATGGTTGTATTTCACTCTGGATGAGAGCGTCTGTTAAATGGCTAAATTGTTCATTGCCCCTCTGCCTTTTGCTCTCATTTTCCTCTCTTCTTCCCCAGCTTTCTCCCTCTCCATTGTTAATGGTTGTATTTCACTCTGGATGAGAGCGTCTGTTAAATGGCTACATTTTAGAATGTGCCCCTGTGCTCTAACCGTCTCTCTCAACCCTCCCTTTTATTTATTTCTCTACCTCATCTGTTTGTAGAATGACTCTCTGTTAAATTAAGGGCCTGTTACTGACTAAATAAGGGGCCTGCTAAATGATCGTTGTAAATTGTCCCCTCTTCCCCCCTCTGTCTTTAGAATGTGGACGGTAAAGGTAGGCGGGGGGAGCCCTCCATGGAGGCCCAGGTCAGGCGGGGGACGGAGGTGAAGGACGACGACCCCATCATCCCCTTCGGCCCCCAGCCCACTGTGTCGCGCTTCGGGGCCATCTCACGCACCTCCAAGACAGGCTACCAGACGACAGGCCCCATGCAGGCCTCCGCCCAGGGACACAACCCCAAGCACATGGCCATAGCCGGTAAGGTTACTCGCACTTTCAACTTTACTTTGGCAATTCACTGTCAACACCTTCATCAGGGTCGTGTTCATTAAGCACCAAACAGAAGGAAACAGGGATAGACTACCTGGACTTAAAGGGATAGTTCACCCAAATTACAATATGACATATTGGTTTCCTAACCCTGTAAGCAGTCTATGGACAAGGTATGACCGCCAGCCATGCTTTGGTTTTATTTACCTGGCACTGTTTCCAAATGCTAACATTTTAGCATTTGTGGCACAAATCCTATTCATGTCATGGACCGATATTAGCATTTTTCGCACATCATGTCCAAATCATCCGAAAGTCTCATTGTCTGTGAAGCTCATCAGTCACTTATAAAATGATTTGAACATGATGCATAAAAAATTGTATTATCGGTCCCATGACTTTAATGGGACTTGTGCCAGGTAACCTAAACCAAAGCATGGATTGCTGGCATACCCTGTCCATAGGCTGCTAACAGGTTAAGGACACAAGTCATTTTGTAATGTGGGTGACCTATCCCTTTAAAGAACACTTAATTTCGCTTTCAGTTGCAAAATGTTTTCCGTTGCGTGCCTCAATGGATAGGACCCAGAGTTTAACCATGTTTCTAAGACATGATTGGTGGTTAACGTGTCGTTGTCCCGCCAACAGCGGAGTACTCCTATGGGAACCACGGAGGCTGGGGCGGAGCCTCCTACCCCTCCCACCAGACTGGCTCCTCCTCTCAGGGACACTTCAGTGAAAGGTACGGCAAACACTCCTCTCATCCATCCATCCATTTATCCATCTTCTCATCAATCACTCAATCACTCATTCACTCCTTCCATCTATTAATGCATATTTATCAGTAATACTGATGGTTCTCTTCTCTCTCTCAGGCTGCCTATGCCAACTCAGGACAGAGAGCAGCTGAAGACTGAGCTCCAACAGGTCAACCAGCAGATCAACCAACAGTCCCAGATCCACGGCATGGAGGTATGTATACACACACAGACACACACACAGAGATGGGACAAACGCTTGTAATACTCATATGTAGACACCCTCAACCAGAATCCAGGACTGGCAACATCATTTTGTATTGAAATCAATTGAGGCAAAAACCTAGATTTTTTTTGGGTGCGGGGCATCGGAGCTTGTAAGTAATGGTAGAGAAGGGGTTAATAGTAGGAAAAAGACTGACCTTACTAACCCTTGACTCCCTCCTTTTCTTCCACCAGCTCTCCCAGCCAGGTCAGAACCAGGGCCAGCAGGGGGGGAAGTGGCCTGGTTCCAGCAGCGCTGCCTCAGTGTCCAGCGAACAGCTCAGCATGGAGCTCCACCAGGTGGAGAGGGAGATCGGCAAGAGGACCCGCGAGATAGCCATGGTGAGGGAGAGGGGGATGGATGGATGGATGAGGGGAGAATAGTAGGTTGTCTGTATTACAATGGGGAATCATTCTGCTCTGCTCCCAACGCCCTAAAGAGTTATTTCTAGCCTTATGTGCACCTTGTCGTGTGGTATTATGGCTGGTTTGTGTTCATGTATTTGTATTTATTATGGATCCCCATTAGCTGCTGCCAAGGCAGCAGCTACTCTTCCTGGGGTCCAGCAACATTAAGGCAGTTATACAATTTTAAAAACATAACAATACATTCACAACAGATTTCACAGCACAGACACCTGCCCCATGACATGTGAGTTGACAGTAGTGCTGTTGTGGTGACCGTATTACCGCAAAACACCGGCGGTCACGAGTCATGAAGGCAGTCAAATTCCACTTGACGTTTAGTCACGGTAATTAGGCTTCTCCAAGCTCTGATGCTGCTGATGGTCATTAGTAGCCTACCAAACTTGCTAACTGCCTGGTACTCAGCACTCTATTGTCCCTCTAATCACTCTGACATCAATGTAAATGTAATCGAAAATCGAATCAATCACTTCATGAGAGCCCATGAGCTCATGTTGCACAACATTTCTATAGGCTATACAATTGCGGGAGAAAACAGTGATGGCCTCTACTAAAAAGAGGAGGATCCCGTCAGCTTTCTATAGGCTAGGCCTACTATATTTATTTCTCAACTTTCCTAATATTAAGCACATTGCTTCTCTTTACAACAGGAGTATAGCCTACCTGGCTGGCATGAAAATAAACCACGGGAAAGCGTCCTCCATTCGCTATGTCATGTATTTTTTCCTGCTGCCCCTGTTTCGAGACAGGTGCATGATAATGGTCTATTCTAAAGCAAAACAAATTTCACACATATATTATTTAGTATATGTAAAGACAAGATTAAATCAAGAATAGTCTGATGGGTGACAATATTAGCCTATCACTTGTGAATTATATATTATCACTTGTGAATAATGCCCAGCATAAGAAACAGCGCCTTAAAAAAAAAATATATATATTCTAATCATAGTCGCACACCTCATGTAGCCTAGCCCATAGGCCTATATGTTTTGCTAAGATTTGTATCACAACTAAAGTGGCCAAATAACTTCTTAAAATTAAGCACATTAATCTGCTTTACAAGGGGTGTAGAGCCTAACTGGCATACATATGCAGCATGTGAGTTTCAAGTTTGGGGAAGATAATTTTCACCTTAAAAATGCACCTTTATAATAAAAGCATTACATGCATAATTACATTTGCGGTCACTTTTGATAATGGTGTTTTCCCGCTAATGGAACATTCGCGCTTATAGCCTACTGCCGTGTGTGCATTGCTGCGCTTATAATGTGAAGAAATACCCTAATAGTTTATCAACATTTTAAACTAAATGTTCTGATCTGTTGCGCCAGCCAGATTGTATAAAAAAGGTTTTTTGATGCTAGTGGGTGTATTAATTTGGGATCTTTCGCATCCCACAACTGTCCCAGACTATGTTTGGAATATTTATTTCTCCCACAGAATAGAATAGGTTGACTTTTGTACTATGGGGGATAGTAAATTAACATAGGCTAGTGCTTTTGCTGTTCATTAGGCCTACTCATCTTGTTGGCTGACGAAAGGTAAATATGGACAGTTCTTCCAATATCTTCAATATGCACTTCGGAATTGGATAAGGACGTGCGCAGTTGCATCCTCGATGTGTCTGTCTTCACTTGTAGCCTGTGACAAAGACCTGATCACGTGATGGAGAGCCATGTGAGTGAGAGGTGCTTCGGAGCGCTCAGCACTCAGGGAGAAGGGCACAACGGCCACTGGCCGCAATAGGCATGGATTTCTTTAGGGGGCATTACGGCCACACAAAGGTGATACCGCCGTGAAATTCTAGGCATTATCAAGTGCTTGTCAAATTGTGAATGAGAGACTAATGAAGTGTGTACAGCCTGCACAAAAAACTAAGCAGAGCTCATGCCTTTCAAGTGACTTTTTTCAAATCATCATTAGTCACATCATGCAGCCTTACAATTTAATACAATGTATTAAAAATCTAAACATATAGCCCAACGTTTGTAAAACAACTAAAGTTACATTAATAACTCTAAATTAAGCAGTCTAAACTACCAGTCAAAAGTTTGGACACACCTACTCATTCAAGGGTTTTTCTTTATTTTTACTATTTTATACGTTGTAGAATAATAGTGAAGACGACAGAACTATGAAATAACACATATGGAATCATGTAGTAACCAAAAAAGTGTTTAAAAAATCTAAATATATTTTATATTTGAGATTCTTTAAATAGCCACCCTTTGCCTTGATGACAGCTTTGTAAACTCTTGACATTCTCTCAACCAGCTTCATGAGATAATCACCTGGAATGCATTTCAATTTACAGGTATGCCTTCTTAAAGGTTAATTTGTGGAATTCCCACATATGCTAAGCACGTGTTGGCTGCTTTTCCTTCACTCTGTGGTCCGACTCATCCCAAACCATCTCAGTTTGGTTGAGGTCGGGGTATTGTGGAGGCCAGGTCATCTGATGCAGCACTCCATCACTCTCCTCCTTGGTAAAATAGCCCTTACACAGCCTGGAGGTGTGTTTTGGGTCATTGTCCTGTTGAAAAACAAATGATAGTCCCACTAAGCCCAAACCAGATGGGATGGCGTATCGCTGCAGAATGCTGTGGTAGCCATGCTGGTTAAGTGTGCCTTGAATTCTAAAAAAAATCAGTGTCACCAGCAAAGCACCCCCACACCATAACACCACCTCCTCCATGTTTTACGGTGGGAAATACACATGCGGAGATCATCCGTTCGCCCACACCGTGTCTCACAAAGACGGCGGTTGGAACCAAAAATCTCAAATTTCGACTCCAGACCAAAGGACACATTTCCACCGGTCTAATGTCCATTGCTCGTGTTTCTTGGCCCAAGCAAGTCTCTTCTTATTATTGGTGTCCTTTTGTATTTGCAGCAATTCGACCATGAAGGCCTGATTCACGCAGTCTCTTCTGAACAGTTGATGTTGAGATGTCTGTTACTTGAACTCTGTGAAGCATGGTACCTGGTAACTCTATTGAACTTATCCTCTGCAGCAGAGGTAACTCTGGGTCTTCCATTCAAATCAAATTAAATGTTATTTGTCACATACACCTGTTTAGCAGATGTTATTGCGGGTGTAGTGAAATGCTTGTGCTTCTAGCTCCGACAGTGCAGTAATATCTAACAAGTAATATCTAACAATTTCACAACATATACCCAATAGACACAAATCTAGTAAGGAATGGAATTTAAGAATATATACATACAGTGGGGAGAACAAGTATTTGATACACTGCCGATTTTGCAAGTTTTCCTACTTACAAAGCATGTAGAGGTCTGTAATTTTTATCATAGGTACACTTCAACTGTGAGAGACGGAATCTAAAACAAAAATCCAGAAAATCACATTGTATGATTTTTAAGTAATTCATTTGCTTTTTATTGCATGACATAAGTATTTGATCACCTACCAAACAGTAAGAATTCCGGCTCTCACAGACCTGTTAGTTTTTCTTTAAGAAGCCCTCCTGTTCTCCACTCATTGTATACATTCTTTCACCTCTACATGCTTTGTAAGTAGGGAAACCTGCAAAATCGGGAGTGTATCAAGTACTTGTTCTCCCCACTGTATATGGACAAGCAATGACAGAGCGGCATGGACTAAGATACAGTAGAATATTATAGAATACAGTATATACATATGAGATGAGTAGTACAAGATATGTAAACATTATTAAAGTGACTGGTGTTCCATTTCTTAAAGTGGCCAGTGATTTCAATAGGCAGCAGCAGCCTCTAATGTGCTAGTGATGGCTGTTTAACAGTCTGATGGCCTTGAGATAGAAGCTGTTTTTCATTCTCTCGGTCCCAGCTTTATGCACCTGTACTGACCTCGCCTTCTGGACGATAGCGGGGTCAACAGGCAGCGGCTCGGGTGGTTCCTGTGGCGGTCCTCATGAGAGCCAGTTTCATCATAGCGCTTGATGGATTTTGCAACTGCGCTTGAAGAAACTTTAAAAGTTCTTGAAATGTTCCGTATTGACTGACCTTCATGTCTTAAAGTAATGATGGACTGTCGTTTCTCTTCGCTTATTTGAGCTGTTCTTGCCATAATATGGACTTGGTCTTTTACCAAATAGGGCTATCTTCAGTATACCCCCCTACCTTGTCACAACACAACTGATTGTCTCAAACGCATTAAGAAGGAAAGAAATTCCACAAATTAACCTTTAAGAAGGCACACCTGTTAATTGAAGTACATTCCAGGTGACTACCTCATGAAGCTGGTTGAGAGAATGCCAAGAGTGTGCAAAGTTGTCATCAAGGCAAAGGGTGGCTATTTGAAGAATCTCAAAAATATAAATTTCTTTAACACTTTTTTGGTTACTACATGATTCCATATGTGTTATTTAATAGTTTTGATGTCTTCACTATTATTCTACAATGTAGAAAATAGTAAAAATAAAGAAAAACCCTTGAATGAGTAGGTGTTCTAAAACTTTTGACCGGTAGTGTATTTCTTTGTGAACCGCTCAACACAGAATAGCTGCGTGTGCACAGAAAATATCCTTTCTATTTTATTCAGCTTTGTTCAATTGTATTCTTCATACTATAAAATAATGCCACGGAATTCTAAGCACATTTTGTCTGCTAAATAAACTAGTGTAGCCCAAAGCCATTTGGCATAGCCAGATCAGGACCTGACATAAGGACAACTCAGAGTATGCTATTCTGTTCTTCTGAAATGGACTACATGTTCTTCATATCATGCTTCTTTAGACCCGTTTAAAATAAATAATGATGCAGACCTTTATTGTGAAGGTGTAGGCTATATTACATGGATTTATTAGACTTTTTAAAATGTAGATGTTCCAAAGGTCTGCATCAGTGGCTTGTAGGCTATGTGTGGAAGCCAGGAGATGCTAAATGTGTTTATGTTAATTAACGGTCAATTACCGTGAGACCGACAGTTATTTGCTTGACAATCACCGGCTGATGAAATTTCGTGACCGACACAGCCCTAGTTGACAGTGTATTGATGTGGTCTCAACAGGACAGCCAGGTGCCTCATGAGGTCCAGTACAAGAAGAAGACTGCTGAGAATGGCCAGCAGGACCACAAGGCCCAGCTGGAGGAAATTGCGCTGGCCCTGGGGTGAGTGGAGACACACAACTTGGCAGAACAGCATGTCATCAGTCTTTATACACGTGAAGGATAATACCACGTAGTAATAATAAATATGATCTTAATCCTCTCTGTTTCTCTCTCTCTCTGTCTCTCTCTCTCTAGTGAGGTGTCGAATGGCTCCAGCGGTCTAGGGCAGAGCGGCGGTGTGGGCGGAGCCATGCTGTCACTGACCACTAAGGCGTCATCGCTTAGCCTGTGTTCTGAGCCAGGGCCCGGGGGCTCAGAGCTGCAGAAGAACGGTGTGGTCCATTCCTGCTCCTAGACCACACACACTGTGACACACACGACAAACACACTCTCAGACCCTTTGGTCTGAAGCATGCACACATACTCGTTTTATTTAGAAGATGAGCAGTATCTGCCGTGATATGAATTTTCTTTTTGTTCTGTGAATGAGCTTCTTTTTTTTTTTTTTTGGGTGTGACTTTCATCGCCTGGAAACCAGGGCATTTGATGACATTTCTTTCTCTTGTCGTTTTTCTTTTCTGGGACTACAAAATAAGGCTCTCAAAGTATATCTGTCAAAGAAAGCAGATGATAATGACGATAGTAGTGATAATGATGATAATTGTTCAAAGAAGCCTATCCCCCCTACATAGAAATCACATACCAAGACTCGTAGTGGATCGAAGGGTAGAGTATTTCTCAATTCTCCCCCTCTATTTTTGTGCCAATTACCAGGTACCCTAAGGGTAAGCAACTTGCAGGGACCTGTGAAATGTAAACGTTCAATTTCGTAACCAACTTAGTATCGGATCCTAACTCAAGTTATGGTCGTTTTGGTCTTATGTACAACATAACAATATCAGAAGTCTTGGTGTTTTACGACGTAGTTATGTCAGCTGTCATAAGTATCACGTAAGTGTCTGTTATACTTCATTATAACCTGATATGACACGTTGTTTCTTTCTGATACCTTTGACAGCTTACGTAGGCATTCTAACTAACATTTAGTCAGTGTAGTAACCGTTCTGTTTGCGTTCAGTAATAAAGGTGTAACCGCTAGTGTTCAGGAATATGCCACCCCCCAGAATCGTAAGATGTCGTTGACCAGATGAGGGGGGAAAGGGAGAGCGAAAACATTCCACCAACGTTCAGTCAACCCTCAGAGCCAAACAAGACTGTGTCGCTTCAAGCCACATGAGACCACATGCCGTTTTTAACCCGCCATGAGAAGTATGATTTTATTAGTGCATTTTATGAATACATCATATGTCTGTTTCATACTTGAAAAGCAGTATCTTATTAACCAAAGCATTCTGTTTTAAAGATTGCAAAATGAATCTTTTTGATAATGAGCTTTTCTCATGTTTTCTATAAGGGAACATACTATGTGCTTCTCGTGGGATGTGGTGTGACTTGCTGCGGAAATGTCTTGTTTGCACTTTGATGGGCTGGAATTCAATCAAACTTGCAGTGTGGGAATGCAAATTCCAGGGAGTGTAACAAAACATGCATTTTCACATTGTAGGAAGGACATTTTCCATGGTGCGAGAGATTGAATCCCCTCCCAGTGTGAATTGAATCATATGGGGTGATTGGTGTTTTTGTTCCTCGTCTTCCTCAGAGCTCCTCATCCGGTCATTGAAAAGGCCTCCCCATTGGGATTATCTTGTCATTGGTTCTCCTTTACTTCTATGAAGTTGCGTTCCCTTGTTATTTTTTTTCCGCTTGCATAAATCACGATTAAGGGGCTGTGGCCTGCCTGAACGCTAGTCTGTAATTGGAGGGGAAGTAAAATTGTTGAATATGCTAATTTTTGGTCTTAATGTGTAAAAATTGTCTGTAGTCTGCCAAACAGTCATTTCAATGGTTTGTGCATCAATATCAACAATGAAAGAGTAGCGAAGTGTCTTAAATAATTTAGTAATTCTACAGGCTTAAAAAAAAATCCTCCTATCCCTTTTGTGTTTTTAACCGCACACTATTAGTTCATTTTAGAACAAGTCTGTATCAAGACACATATTGAGGGTATCTTAGTACATTCAAAACCCAGAACCTTGGGCTACACGTGTTAGGTTTAAAGCAAGCAGCCAGAGTGTCTTGCCCCTCAAAAAGCCTCTACCCAAAGTCTTGACCTTTATTGATATTTTTCACAATCTAGTTTTCTGGTATTATTATCATTATTATTGCTGTCCCTGTCATTGAAATGATTTATCGCTGATGCTCGTTAAGGAGCTCTCTGCCTTTTGTAAACAATCGTCATGATTGGCCATTGAAAAAAGCTGCGCTGAAACGCAAAGAGGTGTGTCCCAGTGCTCAAACGGTTAAGAATGCATGGATACAGGTGGCGATCAGGTTTCAAAATTTGGGATTGGAAAAAACGTTCAGCTTTTTGTCTGGGTAGGTGGTAGGTGGGTGTTGATGGAAGTTAAAGTTGGGAGCCAGGGTCAGTTTTAAGGTTTTTGTTTTTTTCCAACCACACTTCATGCCTCTTGGGCTGCTCTTTGCTACAGTTTATTGTTTAGGTACACAACTCACTTATACATATGAGTATGTATACATACATTAATATACTAAGCACTATTAACGTGCCACCTCTTCTACTCGCTCAGCATTTATATTAAATGATCTCTACTTAGAATCAGCTAAATGTTTTTTTTCTCCACTGGTTGCCAACAGACTTTATCCTTTCCCAGTTGAAGGACATCTGTGCGCATTGACGTGTGTTCACTTGATCTTTTTGTGTTCAAACAAAGATAACTTCTCTATTGAAATATGCTTCCGAAAGAAGACACATTTAATGATGAAAATTTACACAAAAAAATGTTTGTGTTAGGTTGTATTGCAGAAAATGTACACAGTCTTTTTTTCAAAGTGAAGTGTGCTTTACTGGGTGACGGTGTGGAAATATTAGAAATGTGTTGGGGTTTTCTCTTTTTAAGAGGTAATCCGGGTAAGCCTTTAATTTAGTCAAAGGCTTGCTTCATATTCTCAAGGAATACTCCTAGGCCATCCATTCCAACAGTATGAGATAATTTGGAAGCACCCTAACCAAATTGAAAGTGATCTTAATTGGCACACTCGTTTTGTCACCACCGCATCACTGATCACATGACACAGGCAGAGACACATGTTTTGTCATATTTAAAACAAAACATTTGTTTCTGCTGGGAAAATGTAATTGACTAGTTGGGTTTGTTTTTCTTCCTGTCGTTGAGTGAAATCACTTACTTCCAAGTCTTACAGTGATCTATGTATCGCATCACAAGGCGAAGCATCATGTTGTCCATCCACAGGGAAACTACTGTCAAATTTGGCATGGTACTCATCCACACACAGGTTGTCATTTGTTTCAGAATAGTCATGAAAATTAGTTTGCCCACACACGTTAATTCTGCTTTGGGAAATACTCTTAATATCCTCCAGCCTTGAGCCTTAAAGAGAGAGTTCACTTCAAATTTGTCTAATGATTTTAGATCTCAAAAGTGGTCTAATGTTGACTTGAGGCCACATCCCATGCCATCTGTTGTGAAGATCCAGCTATAAGCCTCAATCCCCAAATCAATGGCAAAGATGGACGCAGTCTAGTTTCCAGAACATAATTCAGTGCCCATCTTTTCCACTTATTTTGAGTTTAAGGCATATACCTGAATGTGTGTGTATATGTATGTATATATATGTATATATATATATATATATATATATATATATATATATTCACACACACTACCAGTCGAAAGTTTGGACAGACCTCATACAAGGGTTTTTCTTTATTTTTACATTGTAGAATAATAGTGAAGACATCAAAACTATGAAATAACACATATGGAATCATGTAGTAACCAAGAAAGTGTTAAAACAGGTCAAAATATATTTTATATTTGAGATTCTTCAAAGTAGCAACCCTTTGCCTTGACAGCTTTGCACACTCTTGGCAATCTCTCAACCAGCTTCACCTGGAATGCTTTTCCAACAGTCTAATGAAGTTATCCTCTGCAGCAGAGGTATCTCTGGGTCTTCCTTTCCTTGGTTACTACATGATTCCATATGTGTTATTTCATAGTTTTGATGTCTTCACTATTATTCTACAATGTAGTAAATGAGTAGGTGTTCCAACTTTTGACTGCTTGTGTGTATATATACGTATGTGTGTATATATACGTACGTGTGTATACAGTGGGGGAAAAAAGTATTTAGTCAGCCACCAATTGTGCAAGTTCTCCCACTTAAAAAGATGAGCGAGGCCTGTAATTTTCATCATAGGTACACGTCAACTATGACAGACAAAATGAGAATTTTTTCCAGAAAATCACATTGTAGGATTTTTAATGAATTTATTTGCAAATTATGGTGGAAAATAAGTATTTGGTCAATAACAAAAGTTTCTCAATACTTTGTTATATACCCTTTGTTGGCAATGACACAGGTCAAACGTTTTCTGTAAGTCTTCACAAGGTTTTCACACACTGTTGCTGGTATTTTGGCCCATTCCTCCATGCAGATCTCCTCTAGAGCAGTGATGTTTTGGGGCTGTCGCTGGGCAACACGGACTTTCAACTCCCTCCAAAGATTTTCTATGGGGTTGAGATCTGGAGACTGGCTAGGCCACTCCAGGACCTTGAAATGCTTCTTACGAAGCCACTCCTTCGTTGCCCGGGCGGTGTGTTTGGGATCATTGTCATGCTGAAAGACCCAGCCACGTTTCATCTTCAATGCCCTTGCTGATGGAAGGAGGTTTTTACTCAAAATCTCACGATACATGGCCCCATTCATTCTTTCCTTTACACGGATCAGTCGTCCTGGTCCCTTTGCAGAAAAACAGCCCCAAAGCATGATGTTTCCACCCCCATGCTACACAGTAGGTATGGTGTTCTTTGGATGCAACTCAGCATTCTTTGTCCTCCAAACACGACGAGTTGAGTTTTTACCAAAAAGTTCTATTTTGGTTTCATCTGACCATATGACATTCTCCTAATCCTCTTCTGGATCATCCAAATGCACTCTAGCAAACTTCAGACGGGC